TATACAAGGATCAAGGACTATATTAAACAGTAGGTACTCTCGTCGACTTTTAAGGAAACTCCGAAGAAGTCCCATATATATTAGAACGCAACTTTTCAGATTAATGACAACTTTACGGAAAATTTTACAAGCCAAATTTCACGTTTCCTGAACCTCCCTTATGATTGGAAACGATCGTTCAAGAAACACAACGACTAATATCAATTTTTCACCCCCAAAAAAATCTAAAGTCTCTCTATATTTATCTTGCAATCTCTCCCCTATGACTGAGAGACTTCATCTATCTATTTATTCAATTTCAATTCTAAAAATGGCGATGTCTAAAGTTTCTATTATTATTAAATTATTATATTATGAAATTATTATATTAAATTATTACATTATTATATTATTATAGTCTATTATTATTTATTATTTTTATGAACAATCACAGAACGGTTATTTGGTCTTCCCACTCAATTCAAAATCTGCAAATTTTACAAATTGGACATTGACTTTACCTCATGACCATATATTTGCTTAAAAATCGAGAGGCACAAACCTAGGCCTAGGCAGTTCAGCTTAAGAAGAGTCACGATAGAAAACCTCCATTCTGTCTAGGTTTGTGCCTCTGGAATTGTCATCAACCTCTACTCTGCCTCTGGAATTATCATTTTTAGCAACACAGGCGCAGAGTAGATGCGAGTCGGGGTTTGCAATGGTTCCTCTTCTTAAGTTGAACTTCTGCGTTTTTAAAAACCGTAATTGCAGAGACACAACCCTAATGGCCGTTTGCACCGACAAATTTAAGTAGAGCTTAGCTTAAGCGTAGCTTAAAAGCCATGACAACGATTATTGAGACAATGGTGGCCATGGATTTTAAGCTACGCTTAAGCTAAGCTCCTCTTAAATTTGTCGGTGCAAACGGCCATAAGCACAGTAGAGGGATGCTATGGTGATTTTTCTTAAGCTGAACTTCTACTCTACCTGCCTTTGGCCCGCTCGGTAATGCTTCTGAAATCATTTTTAAGCATATCTAGTCTACCTGTGTGCTCGGAATTTTAACAACTCATTAAAAATGAGAAATCTAGAGTCATTGTAGAGCGAGCCGAAGGCGAGTTCGGCACGAACCTAGGCAGAGTAGAAGTTCAGCTTAAGAAAATTCACCATATCAAACCTCTACCCTGCCTAGGTTTGTGCCGGAATTTGTGTTTGTGTTGGAATTACAATTTTTTAACAACACAGACAGATTAAATTTGTTTTAAACATGAAAAATCGAGAGGCATTGCTGAGCGAGGCAAGGATAAGTTCAGCACAAACCTAGGCAGAGTAGAAGTTCAGCCTAAGTAGAGTCACAATATCAAACCTTTACTCTGCTTTGTGCCTCTGGCATTATCATTTTTAGCAATAAAAGAGATGCTCAAAAATGAGTGGTAATTGATCTTCTCGAATGTCCTGCTCTGTTTTTTTGGTAACACTTATCAGTGCCTTCTTAATCTGATTAAGGAAACCCAGGAGAGTAACAGATTTCCTTTTGAGTGTGCAGCAAATTGCGTTGAACGATTTAAGTTTGTATCAAACTGGTTGTTCAGCGATGGATTGATTGAGCGGCACATTATGAGGCTTTTTCTCACTGATGAGCTCCGCAAGCCCCTCAAGAAGGCGAACACAAAATGACAACTCGACAATATCATATTTACCACCATCCGATATTTTTTTATTCAAACATCTAAAAAGTTTCGGTATTTAGCCCTAGACGATGACCTCACAGGCGCAATGCGTCATTTTTTGAAGCCCAAACAATCTATTTGCCCCTAAACTTGTTAACTACAAGGCCACAGTAGGTACATAATAGGTACACTCCTCGTCTCTCTACAAGCGTTCTTCTACGAGCCCGCATTTACTGTCATCCAGTTAGCCCGCCAAAGTGAAATTAAAAGCTACCCTTTTATCCTATTTTATCATATCAGTAGTTGTGTTAAGTTTGGAGTGTATGTCATCACATCGTGTCTTCCGAAGGTTAATAAATTGACCGAAATTAATCTTAATCAAAATCTATCATTTTCTCATACATACCGTTTTCAAAAATTCACAGTTGCAAAAGACTATTAACAACGTAACATTTTTACAGTGGGTTACACCACAACCTTCATCAATCAAAAAATAATGCCCACTCAATCAACAGCAACGGACCGAAAGAAATGTCACCAAGAACGGTTTAAGAGGGAGAGAATGATAAAAGGCACTTCAATCTAAATTACGCAATTTTTCTCATATATCAAAGTTCTAAAATGCCACGATTTATTTTCGAGATATATTACCATGACTTGACAAGCAAGATCAATAACATAAATTTATAAGACAAATATTGGCAATTTTGCGAACAACTAAATTTATAAAAGTTTCCGGTAATATTTTTGTCCACCCACACACGCTCCCCCAAATATAGGGATTAATCAGCGGGTTTAACAATGTTTCCAATCAGGCGAGAGTGTGGTATGAATATGAACGAAATCTTGCAGGTTTCTGAAAAGGTACGTTTTAACAAAAAAAAGTTTCTTCCTCTTTATTAAATTCGGTGTCAAGGAAGTTGTGAAAAAGTAAACCTAAAACTTTTCGAATTTTATTGCAAAGGTGATAAGACGTCAGGGTATTCTCAGTAATAAATGAAAAAGTTACGTATGCAAGGGAACACCTTCAGGTCTGAGAAAAATGTTGTTACCTACGTGATATCTGAAGTAGTACGACGAGGGATTTATACACTTGTAAAGGTTATAAAATGAGAAGAAAACAGAGATGTGCTTTGATATAAAGGAAACGTTTCAGAAGGCCGAATTTTCTCATACATTACAAATACAGCTTTGTCAAAGCGACAAAGAAATAGTGGAGTGCCAGTTTCGACGTACTTTTGTATTGTCAAAAGTTTTAGAGTAGGTAATTACGGGGCAGGAATTTTGAATTAAATATAGGGTAAATGTGTGTTTGCTTAAGTCTCTAATCAATCACTCCTTTTAACACTGTATATACAACGTTATGCGTGTCTTTATACATCATCTTGACGTTAATTAGATCGTATCTAGAAAATATATGAAAAATGCCTTCGTCGGGTAGATAATTAAAGTGTAGGTGTCTAGAAATTTGTTGGTTGCGATATAACCTTATTTTCTTAAAAAAAAGTATATTAAATTATTATTAATTTAAGACTATAAAACTAAAGAATTTTGCGTTATATGCATCCAAAGTCTCTGGTACATTTTATTTTACAATGCGAATTACACTCATAATCAGCCACTCTTTCAGATTAGTAAACTTTAAAATTGTTCTTTTGACAAAGCTTGGGTTCGTGCTTTTCATTTTAGGTTGTAAAGGTCTACAAAAGAATTGCAAAACTTCTGGAAGTTCCAAAAAAACCCTATAAATTGTAATACCTAATTTCGGAAAAATTTCCAATATTCAAAATTCCCTAAGCATTCTAGAAACATTTCCATCTTACAAAGTTTCTTACAAATATTTCCAACATTTCTTTAACCTTTCCAAATTTTCTACATATTTTAAAATATGCCTGAAAATATTGTTTATACATTTGCCAATCATTTATCTCAAAATCGTTGACACATTGCTAATATTTCCGACACATATCCAACTTTGTACAGTTAAACGTAAAATAGCATCACAATCCCAGGCACTTACTAGAGGAGTTCCACAAGGATCTATATTAGGGCCGCTGCTTTACACAGTTTATACCTCCCAGTTTCATAAGGTAATTCGTTTTTGCAAAAGTCACTTTTTTGCTGATGACACGCAACTACTGCGACTTCTTTTTCTTCTAATCAAATGGCGGATGTAAATACATTTATTAATGAAGATCTGGAAAGTTTGCTTTCAATATCAAATGATCACAGCCTTCAAATAAACCCTAAAAAATCAATGGCCATTGTATTTGGTTCCGAGCGCAATAGGACTAACGCTATGACTAATTTGCAGATAATATTGGGTGGCGCTAGGTTAACTTTTACCGATAAAGTAAACAGTTTGGGTATCATTATAGATTCACGAGTTACGTAACCCATATGCTGCAAAAGAGTAACAGTGCTCTCAAGCTAATTTACTCACATCGTCACATTCTTGGACAAAACCTCAAGAAAATTTTATGTGATTCACTAGTACTATCGCATCTTAATTACGGTGATGTATTATATACTCCTTGCTTAACCGTGTTTGACATTAAAAGAGTGCAGAAGGTTCAAAACTCCTGCTTACGTTTGATGTTTGGTGTGCGACGGGGAAGACATATATCCCATAAACGAAGAATAGTTCAATGGTTGACAATGTTTGACAGAAGAGTTCTACATATGACACGCTTTTATTATAAAATGTGTGCTTTTTCTTAGTTTTAAGTTAATTTAATACTTCTTTTAAAGTATATAGATAAATCTTTTAAATTATCTGGGGTATGCCACACCCCTGGGTGGCTTTCATTCCCTGCAAAATTAAAGGTGTCTACCGAAGTATTTATTTTTGAAAGGGTTACTGGGAAAAGAATTTTTTTGATGTTGTCGAAACCTTTTATATAATCATATATGACATCATATCGTATCTAGTCCTTCTAATAGGCAAAACTCTAGGTAATAGATCATAAACATAGTGTTGTATAACTAGCTTGTATATTCCCTGTACTTATTGTAATACCAAATGAAATTCATTTTATTGTTTTGTTTCATTGAAGGACATGGTTGAATGGAAGAACATGCATTATTGTTTCTTCCATGCCTGAACTACGCCTTTGGACAATTTTTAATTTTTTTGTTGTGTTTTTTTTTGTTGTGAGGTATGGATGTCTAATAAAAATATTTATTATTATTATTATAGTTTCCAAATTTTTGAAATGGCATGTTTCTACCGTCATCCATTTTTATTGGATTGGTGTCGGTTGCCTTAGTTACCATGGATACAAATAAAACAACACAGGCTTTCCATTCGCACCCCTGAAGAAAAAAACAAAATACAAAAAAGGTACTCACCACAAGTTTTTCTTGAAGAAATTTCTGAAACAAAATGCAAATTAGAACATTGTTACAGACAACACGATAAGGGTTAAACATCTCTGAAGAAATGTGTGAAGAATAATGATGAAGATTACCATTTTTTTAGCGATTGTGGGGAAAGCAGAGGTTTGCAAGAATTGGAACCACTATTATACACCACACACCCGCGCGAACGTTTACATTATCACTAACTGAACACAGTGGTAATTACCTGCATCGGTAAAACCTCGTGACGTTCTTATCTACATTCCAGTTTGCGATAAATCACTTGCTTCTAAATTCTTATTGTAAATTCAATTTTAATGAAATTGAATATAATACAAATTGAGATTAATGATTTGGTTTTAAAGTTTTGGGTAAAATAGATAAATGTTTTCGTGAGCTGTAAATTCGTCAAGGAAAACGCCGTTGGTAAAAATTAAAAAAACCGACTGCAGGTGCTTTTTATGCCCACGGAAAAGTCGTCAACAAACTATTCAGCTCTAGGTGCATATGATTACATTTTCGCAAATAAACAAACAAAAGGTAATCTCAAAAAATGGTCAAAATCGTTTCCAGGAGACTACAAAGGATAAAGGAAGGTGTAATACAAATTGGCAAAGAGTGTATAGGTTGGATAACAACAAAAATGATGGAGATGGAGGAAAGGAGAAAAGCTAAACATTTAAGCACAGACGAAGATTGTACAGAAAACTTAACAATGAGCTAAGAAATGAAACAAATAAGGCAAGAACGGCATGGTTTAAAAAGGAATGTAAGGAAATGAACGAACTGGAGAAATTAGGTAGATATGGAGAAAAAAGATGGAACTATGACAGTGATAGAAATAGATGGTACAATATATCAAGTAAAGAACAAACCAACACAGCTGACAGTAGAGATCTTAAAATCTACGAATGTGGGCTGTGATGGTCAGAGGAATTTCTTTGTTCAGAAATGGCGGCTCTACCTAAAAAGCAAGGTACAACCTATTACTAGTCGTAACACACAACAAAGATGTTATTGAAAATATTGAATAGATGGCTTAACCAAGTTATGGAGGAGAATATAGGAGAAGAAAAGTGTGCTTTCAGAAGAGGAATGGACAGCAAAGACGCAATAGGAGTGGCGAGAACGATCGGCAAAAGACCTTCTGTGTAGCTTTTGGTGACATTCTTAAGGCACCCAATTGGATAAAATGGGAGAAACTGTTGGAAATACTGAAGAGGAAAGGTGTCAACGGGAGAGAAAGACGACTACTACGGAGCTTATATATGAAACAAAAAGCAAAAATCAGGGGTTGGTCCGAACAAAGTACTAAAAGTTGCGAAAGTGGCGGTGCAGGAGGATATAACAGTAATGGTAGACGCGGTGAGAAAGTGGAAAGGTATAATTTAGGTACAGAGATAGCACAAGGTTGAAAAAGCTAAAGAGAAATTAAAACCAGGATAGCGATGGCAAAACAAGAGAATTTCACGCAGTAAGATTATTGGTAAAAGATCAGGAAAGGTTGGAAGGTTTTGAAATGTGGATGTGGAGAAGAATGGACTTATACGATAAGTAATGTATACGTATTAAGTAGAATTGGAGATGAAAGATGTATGTTGAAGATCATAATGCGAAGGAAAATGAACTGTATTGGAAAGAAGTGATTACTGAACGGAGTAACCGAGGGAACTGTTCAGGGAGAAAGGAAAAGAGAAAGAAGAAGGACGACCTGAAGAAGGGAGAAGGAGGATATGAAGGAGTAAAGAGAAGAGCAGAGGATAGAGAGTTGTGGAGAAAAGCTATCAGAAAACCAATGAGAATGAACGTAAATTTAGAAATTCGTTGTAATTTTTTTTAATAATAAGGGTGGAATAAAAAAGGTACATGATACGGAATTTGCGATAATTGCTATACAAATTTTTTTTTAATAATTGCAGGGAATGGATACTGAAAGAGTGAATATTTCAAGTAGTCCGCAGAATGTAATAAATGAATCATTAGCGATAATTGTGCTTTGAATCAAGAGAATGAAACAAATTTTAATCATTAGTATAAGTTGTACTACCTTTAAAATATGCTGTTCATCAACATCGCTAGGCGTAATTTAGAAATAATTCTTCAGTAAAAACTATAAATGGTTACCATCTCATCTGTAATATTTTAATTAACGGCTCAGGCAGTTTCTCTTCTTTGAAGCTATATCTGGATATTTATTTCTGAAAATAAGTACTTTAATCGTTTCAATTCGCGTTTAATCCACGTTTCGCTAAGATGTGAAAGAAAAGAAGAGAAACATTCGATTGTAACAAAGGACAGCCGAAATCTTTATTTTTCAATTTTCTAGTTCATTATATTATAATAACATTTTAACGACTCCACCCTTACCTCTGCAACAAACTCGTTAACTCGCTTTACGTCATTAATACCTTCCTAAAATTGAAGGCTTACGACGACAATAATTAACACCCTAAGGTAGTAAGGTAGTACCAAATTAAACTTTATTAGCCCTATAATACTGCATAAATCAGTTATTACTTTCTTTTATTATTGATGTATTATTTTCCCGCTATTACGGTCTAGGTTTTCAACGATAAATAAATGGTCACGAATTGCTACAAACAGAAGATGGCATACTTAGTTTTATACGACACGATATTAACCACACTTAATGATCATAATCAAGCATCGAACATGCCTAAATAAATGCAGGCGATGCACGTAGGTTTATTTTCTAGCTAAATTATGGGGAAGCCAATATTCAAAAGCTGCAGTAGGTAGAAACTAGAAAGTGTAAACGATATTGCGTTAGATACATATGTCAATAGCTTTATGGAGCGAGTACGCTTTGTTAAAAAAGCACATTTTCTATTAACGAAGACTTTGATTGATGAAAAGAAAAAGTCAATCGATTTTTACACGAACTTAACGTTGAAGGTGAGATTATTTTGATGAATTATACTCTCGTTGCGCTAATGCAGATGCAACAAATAGAATTGCTCTTGCGTGGGTAATCTTTTACCTAAGCCACAAGACATAGTTGAGCTGAGGTCTCTCCGCCCAGAGTTTTAAAATTTTTAAAGTTTGCTGCATAGAACCAAAAAAATATAATTTTCCACACGCATGAATATATTCGGCCTACACAGGAAAGATAAATAGCTGTTTAAAAATGACCACAGCAAATTCTGTAAGGGCATATATCTCTAACCGCACTTTAATCTACAAAATTTAGTGCGGAAACTGTAAAATTAACCGCTTACGCCCTAAGGTCTTTGTTCTCTGTTCTATTTATTATCTCGTTCCGTTTTTGCCGATTGTTGCAAAAATGAATAATACCCTTTAAATTGGAAGGGATAAAAATTTGTAATTATTCTCAAGTCCCAAATACGAGTATTTTCTAATTAGATATTGGCGTTACCTTTCTGTAGTCTGAAATATTTCACGTTTATTTTATTATTATTATTTTTAGAAATTGTGTTCACAACAAATAATGTTATTTTTGTTTATGGTTGTTCCTAAATATGATGTACATGCGAAACTTATTAGGTACTAAAAGTTCATAAAACAAGGTCCGCAATACCGATCAACCTTTAATTTATAAACATATACATACACCATTTCAAATGCCAACTGTCAAAACTAATAAAAACAAGACGTTATTCCATTAAAGCTATGGCCTACTGGGCCATTTTAAAAATGTTTCTTTTATTTATCCAACTCCTGAAAATTGATTTTTATTTCTTGCTCGATAACAGTTGCAGATACGAAAAATTATAACAGACCAAAAAGTTTCTAAACAAATTTTTTTACGGTACAACTACTGAGAAAATCCTGAAAGTATAACATCTTTCCTACAAAGAGTATGAAGACTGTGTTTATATCAACCTTTAGTCATAAAATAAGCCAATGAATTGGTCCATTTCGTATGTACATCATTTTAATTTCCAAAACAAAAATTTGTCATAAATCAGTTGGGTGAGAGTTAAATTTTTTTGCATTTTTTTACTACCGAATTATGCAGAATTAGAAAAGTTTAAGTTGTAAAAGAGTCAAGATTCTCAAAACATTTCTCCAAACGAATATTGCTCATGATAACTTCAAGCTTTAAAATCATTAGTTGTCACCTCATTATCTTGGTCTGGTTTTGAATTGCTCTCTGGAAATTGGCCTTCTTTCGATAATTTTGCAACTCGGCTAATTGGCAATAAAGCTATGAGAAAATGGCGGTTCAGCAAAATTGAGAGTCAGCCACATCCCCAAAGGCCATTTAGTAATGGAACTAAGAAATGAAAACTTTAGCAATAAGACTAACAACAACGAACTTGCACGAGAAATGTACAGATGGCGTAACAGGTAGTAAATGGAATATAAATGTAAGACTGAAGAAACGTTACCTAATTCGATGTTGCGTTGAGCTCCATAGGTTTGACCGGGTTAAATCTCTGGAACATAGATCATATTAGTTGGTAAAACGAAATTTGAAAATTGAAATTTGAAAATCAGCGGTCACTATGAATTAATTTTTGAGTTGATGATGTGAAGAGATAAGAATGATTTGCATTTGACCCAGCAACATCTTCTAAAGGTGGATTTGAATTACCTACTTCACATAAATCATGTAAATCAGGGTGTAATCCATCCCCAGTGATTTTTCAAAGCTTAAAAGGTAAAAGTGCATCTAAATAGACAAGATTGCATGCTTTAGTCTACCTAGATATCAAAAATGTATGCTAATCGCTTTTTACGTGTATAAATTTGACCGTTAAAACGAGCTTAAGCACATCAATACTCATGATGGCTTTAGGTCATCACAAAATTTTCCATATCAATCGACAAATGAATGAAACAAAAATCAAGAACGCAAATGTACCTATAATTTAATCTGTTTTTATTGTTAAAATTAGTATAAAACAAATTGTAGCGCCCCAAAAATATGTTGAAACGGATGCAAGTAACGAACTATAAAGAATCCGTAAAGATTGGATGTACGCCTATAGAAATACTTATTGACTTTTCATCGAACGCCAAAGATTGCGGTTCATTTACTGTATAATTCTAACCAATACATCAAGTGAGGAGAAACGTACCTACGTTATCATATCAAATCCTCTAGGTCTAGAGAGAACTTTCTATCAAAATTACCCACGTTAATGTCAATGGCTTTCTCTTTCCATAACTTATTTAAGAAATTGATACAGATTGACTCTGATTGTATAC